ATACAATAGGCCAAACTGTGGCCGCAGTACCAAAGAACTCAATCTCACCTCATGAGAAGAAAAAGATAAAAGTATACCGATACCAGAAAGAAAGTGTTTCAAAGTAAAATTTCAGTCACTTAATACGAAACTAAAGTCAATGTTATTTAACAATGAACCAAGTTACAAAGCTGTTCGAGGTGGTCTGCTTGCATCTGAAATTCACATTTGAGCATAGCGTATTGGGCCTAAGGACTTTCAGGTGGTAGGGCAAGAGTAGCCGTGGAGGAATACTGACAAGTGTTGTAAACACACAGTCGCCTCCGAGAGACTGGAACAGTCGCATTAATACGGGAGCCTCGTACTCCTGACTAAGTGTGAGGCAACATGTTACAAGCGGCATAACGACCTCCTCGTGAAAGTACTCCTCCATCTTCTGCATGCTTTTGTATCCATCAAATGACAATCTGGAAAGGGATACATAATAATATTTGTATCCTTATCATGCATAAAAGATTCAGCATCTTGAACCGACAGATTGTGCTTGATTATATTTTGTCGTTCGCTTCACGCAAATGCTCGTTTGAGCAATTATATTTTATTAACCGGCGAACTTACTAATACTCCTGACTGAATACTACCAGGAAGGCCCATTTATAAGCCATCACAGTCCTCACACCAATGTTGACAGTGACATGCAACAACTGTTCTGGTTGAAATTGCGGTATAGCATTACAGTAAATCAGCATTTTGGGCCTTGTGTTTTCAGTGAGCATCTCACAGCGGATATCTGACTTGCCTTTTCATTAAATTAACTATCATTCATTTTAGAGTATGTACCCCTGTTAACACGACCGAGCATATATCAGCAACATGACGGGCCTCTCTCACCTTCATTTTCAAAGACTGTATAGGACTATCTTGAACATACCTTTAGCATTAGTCAGATACTGGAGAAAAATGAGAGTACAATGAGAGAGTAAAGTAAAAAAGTAAAGCTATCCCTGTACCAGGCCGTGAAGTCCCATAGGGTTGTCAGACGTTGAGGCTCCCACGTTATCTAGACAATCGGCTCAAAGATGGCGGTAAGGTTGTCAGCCTTACGCGCCGGCCGCCCTTGACTCCCCAGGAAAATTATTTAATTAATTCCTGGTATTCATTTATGTTAGAGTCTGAGTAAATCTCAGGGCCTAGTGCGGCTGGAAGGATTAGGTACATCAGCTATTCGTAAACAGCAAGAAAACGGTTAGGAGGAAAATATTGTACAATATTCTCATAGAGTCTGAGGTACTCATGAAACTAGTTTGGCTGATTACAATGTGTTTAAGCGAAACGTATAGTAAAGTGCATGTAGATAAATATTTGTATGATAATTTTCCTATCTAAAATGGTCTAAACAAGGAGACGCTCCATCACCATTGCTTTTCAGCTTTGCTTCAGAATATACCATTAGGAAAATCAAGGAAGACCAGTTGGGACTGACATTAACTGGAATATATCAGCTTCCGTTCTATGCTGATGATGTAAATCTATTGGGAGGTAACATAAATACCGCAAATAAAAACATGGAAACTCTAATTAACGCTGGAAAGGAGGTTGGTCTAGAAGTAAAAGCAGAGAAAAATAAGTGTATTTTGCTGCCTCGCACCAGAATGCAGGGCAAAATCATGACATAATGATAGCTAGCAGATCCTTTGAAAATGTGGCACAGTTTAAATATTTTGGATCGCTGTAACAAGTCAAAACTTGAGATTAAGAGGAAACTGAATTCGGGTAATACTTGCTACCATTCAGTCCATAGCCATTTGTCTTCTCGTCTGCTGTCTAGAAACGTAAAAATTATAATATGCAAAACTATAATTTTGACTATGGTTCTGTATGGTTGTGAAACATTGTCTCTGACATTAAGGGAGGAACATAAACTGAAGTTGTTTGAAAACAGGGTGTTAAGGAGAATATTTGGACCCAAGAGGGATGAAGTGAAAGGAGATTGGAGAAAACTGCATAATGAGAAGCTTCATAACTTGTACTTTTCACCATGTATAATTAGAATGACCAAGTCAGTGAGTATGAGATGGGCAGGGCATGTAGTACGAATGGGAGAGGATATTGGTGGGAGAGCCAGAAGGAAAGAAGCAATTAGGAAGTGTAAATAACATTAAAATGGATCTTAGAGAGATAGAATGGGATGGTATAGACTGGATTGATCTGGCTCAGGATACGGACCAGTGGAGGGCTCTTGTGAACACGGTGATGAAAATTCAGGTTCCATAAATTGCTGGGAAGTCCTTGAGTAGCTACACAATTTGCGACTTCTGAAGAAGGGCTTAGCTCCATGAAGTTGGTTAGTTTTAGTATGGGGCTATCTTCATCACAAGCATATAAATCTCTGGATTATCCGATGAAGAACGCAAGCATGGAGATCATGATCCATCATACTGAACCCCCTATATTTCTTTTTGGGGGTCACATGAAGGACATCGCCTACTCTCTGACCACAATTTGTATCAATACGGCGTCTTAAATTGTGCATGTTAAATAAATTCTAATAGCAACTGCAACAGGACGTTAAGATACAACTCGGATGTTCCATGTCTCAGTAGATACGTGAGTGAGGCCGAAAAAAACTGATTTCTAACTTCCGAAACGTACATTTTTCCATATTTCATTTCATATATTTCTGCATTTGCTTGTGTCTTAGCATTTGTAAACTCATGCTTTAGAAGTCTGAAATAATCAGGTAGCCATTGAATTTTAATAAGGTACGTATTAAACTAGCCTGGGGCACGCGGTAACGTAGTTGGTTGAGGCACAATGCTACAAGCCGGAAGGTCGCGAGTTCAAGTCCCGACGAGTTCATTGGATTTTCTTCAATTTTTTTCCAGCCGCACTATTGCTCTGGGGTCGACTCAGCCTCTAACAGAAATGAGTACCAGGAATATTCTTGGAATGTTCTTGCGGGTAAAGGGCGGCCGGCCCGTAAGGCTGACAACCTTGCCGCCATCTATGAGCCGATTGTCTAGAAAATGTGGCAACCTCAACATCTCACAACCGTATGGGCCTCCACGGCCTGTTATAGGGATTCCTTTACTTACTTTTACTTATTAAACTAGTCTAGTTGTATATAGGTTTAATGCCCATCGACTGCGAGATTTATGGCTATGTAATTATGAACAGAAAAAAAATACTAACCAATGGTTATTTTTGCGGAGTTAATTTTTCGACCATTCATTGATTACAGTAAGTAGGCTTACGAATTCCTTGCTGTTTTCTGCTTAAATTAATAGAGCTTTCCTAGTTATTTTCCAGGGACTAGCCTATATTGCGTGTGAGGAAATAAAGAATACCTATTTGTCTTGTTCAAATTCACATCCTCCGTGGTTACGGTGCTTAAATTATTGTAATTTAAAAAACTGCTTTCACATATTCTAACGAATGCTATCCTGTGAATCAATTTTAGACTCCTAATCCTGTAAAGATGACCCATGCATCTGGTTGCAATTCAGAGTCTGATAGTCAAGAACTTCGGTGATATTCTTACAGCTGCTTTATGAAGTACACCTTGAATGTTACTCTATATTAATAGATAAAAAGCATTAATACATGAAGTTCAAATAACTTGATAAATAAAAAACCAAACTTTGTCCTAGGCCTACATGTTTCGGCCACTAGTGGCCATCATCAGGAGGCAAGCCAACATTATAAAGGAAACACTTTACATAAGTTGTTACTGAACATAATTTATTATAAAATTATTAAGGGGGCTTTAGTCAGTTGTGAATACTTAGACCAAGTAGTTAACTGTTAATTTTTGCTAAACTGTGCCGATCACAGTGGCCGCGTGGTCTAACACTAGAATTATGGGTTCGAATCCCACTAGAGACATAAATGTCTGTCTGCGTTTATTCTATGTTAGTATTGTCCTGTGTATGTAGCGGCCTTGCGACAGACTGATCCCCCGTCCAAGGAGTCCTACCGACTGTCTACAAGATTAAGAAACTGAAGTGAAACGGTATTACGCAGATGCTCCAGAGGGAGCAACTGGAATTAAATAATAATAATAATAATAATAATAATAATAATAATAACTACTTAACTGTAAACATTATATCATTATCAAATTTAATTTAGGTTAAGTATACTTAAAGAAGATTCCTCCATTAAAATATTTTCTGATATAATCTCTTCTTTAAGACTTTCTGTATGTCTGTAAATATCTCTTATCAAAATTCTCAATGAAAGTTAATGCGATGATTAGCTCCACAAACCTGTAAAACCGCAATTTGAATTATAACCTTTTTTTTTTCACCGTAGAAAAGAAATATGTTTTGCCTATTAAAAATTTCGATGACAGTCCTTCAGTCACTTTGTATCTAACGAAGACACGACTTTTTAAAATTTTACAAACACATAATTTTTACATTTTCAGAATCTCTTAGAATATGCTAAATCGATAAGTGATTTACTTTATTGTAAAAAAAGTAGCTATGAGGTATCATCCTTCCCCAGCTAACTTTCACTCTATAAGAAATGGGAGCATATTTTGTCATTTAATTTTCCGAGGCTAACTTGAAATTTGTTGCAGCATTCGCCAAGTAATTTTACTATAAGCAAGAAAAATTATTAACGACACAAGACATGAAAAATACAAGTCCGTGTATTTAGAAGGGGAGATTTTTAGCAGGCCCTCAGATATGAAGCTGGAAAATGAGAGCGTAGCATTTTCATAAATTACACGGCATAATCCAAAAGCGTTCGTGATGTATATTCCTCATCTGTAACTGCCCATTCAAAACATCGCTCGCTCTTGTGGAGCGGGAGAATGGTCGTGCAGAAGAAGGTCACGCAGTAACAGCAGCAATAAATGTGCCAGTCCAGGCGACAGGTCCAAGTCTCGGCATTACACAGCAAAGTTGCCCGCCATGAAGTTGTAGTCATTCGTAGAGCTTCTAGTGACATAAGTTAGTGGGTTCGTATCAAGACGACTATTATCATTAGTAAAAAAAATCTGTCGATGGCTTCCAGCTTCAAATGTCTACTGCAAGTGGATCATTTCCAACTGACGTTTGTGTTAAGCTTGCTACTGTGGTACTTCCCTATCAGCCAGGTGAGCAATTTTGGTTGTTTTGAGGAAACGAGAAGGAAGTGTGTGCGGAAGTTAACCAAATTAGGACTCCATTTTCATTCAGTGAAAGATGACTCTTTGCATGAAACATGACGCCGACATATTACACGTAACAACAGCGCCTCTCGCCGTCGCAGTTTATGGGAATTGGTAAGTGAATTCCCCCATTTCTTATAGTTGAAAGAAATATATGCAAGATAATAATTTGGTTGACCGCACTTCATCTTCCCCTCACACCTATACATTCTTGTATATAATAGTAGATATTCCGAACTAAAAATTTCGGAATATGATACCGTACTGAGAACAAGTGACAATATTTCGGCACCAGAAAATCTATTACTATCCCCGTAATATTTAACCACTCAGATACTACACTCTTTTCACATTTCGAACCTACACAGAGTCAGTCGATATAATAAAAAAATTAAAATAACATAATTCCAGGACGCTTTATCATTTTAATAACCAAAGTGAATTAAATTATAGACATGGTTTTAACTGCGAACATAGGAATTCGTCGAAATAATTCCATGGAGAGCAGACCTTCTTAAGGAGCTTATAGTAGCTAACCCCTTAGTAAATCTAAGTCGATATATGAATGAAAAAACTGGCTTCCGCTTTAGGCATCAGACCTACGTTAAGTTATTGGTTTCGTGTCTTTCGTGCATGGTGAGGCTGAAGCGGCCTCCAGCGGAAGGCGAAAGAATACTGCTACCTTCTTTGGGTCCTAAACCTGAATTGAAGAATATGTTAGAGTGGCATGAAGACATTGCCAACACGGTGGCAACACTATTACCTACATACACAGACCACTTAACAACATAACTAACAGCGTGGAAGAACCTACAGCCAATGGTGCTTACATACCAAACTGGCAATAACACTACTTCAACATCCTTATGAACTGCACAAATAATACGCATATTAGCCACGCCGGAAAGGGAATTTTGCGCGAGTAAACCCAAGACGAGAAATACTCGAGCAAATATCTTTTAAACGAATGGACGACTACAATAAAAATATTAAGATGTTAATTAGTTCTAATTAAGGTTTATTTTAATTAGGAAGTATCGCTTTCATACGCGATGTGTAATTTGTATATATAGTGCAACAATTTTAACAAGACAGACATGCGCCTGATGATGACCGTATGCGGCCGAAACATCTAGTGAGGAAGAAGGGTGACTAAATATTAAGTTGTATTTAAGATGGAAATATATGTGTACCACATGTATATATATATATATATATGAATGTAACACGATGCCTAAATATAACATGAATACATCATATAAAACGAAATATAAGAATAGGCATATAAAATGCGTTGAGGCTTAATAAACTTTAGGTGTTGCTGGAACTGCGTATGTTGCATCGGATACCCCCAAAAACTTCAACCAAAATTTTTCAGAAATTCCAATTCACAGATATATTAATCCATAATAATGCTTAATTTGCATAAGGCCATATATGGAATATTTCATGCAATTTACACACCTTTCCACAATTTTTTATATATTTACTTTTATATATTCATGCCGTCTTACGTGCAACTTACAGTAAAAGTTTTAAAATTCAGAACAAATGTTGTTCAAATTTCACACGCGAGGTTTTCGATAATTTTTATTTCGTTTGTCTTAATTTAAATAACCTTAATAAACTTAAAAAACGCAGCTGGTAATATTTTTACTACGTTATGGGATGCAAGCTTTATAATCTCGTTTTTCTTAAAGGCTGCTGTTTACTGGAGGTCAAGGTTGAATTTTGAGTATGAAAGTTCAGATGTATACTCATAGTATACCTTATATATAATTATCTCGAATATCGTGAGACTTTCGAAAAAAAAATATATTGGACCTAAAACGGTATGCTTAATTTCTCTTTGTAACTGTTGATTGGAATAATGTTTTGGTCCAACAGATATTTAGCGAGATACAAACAGAAAGGAGTGTAGGTTTGCATGAATGTCTTCGTATACGTAATGTATCGAGATAAAATTTGAAAATGATACGCAATTTTTCATAAACCTTTCCAGCAAGAAATGTAATGAAAATCCGGATGTCGGTGTTAATAAGCGGTTACGGTGAAGGATGATCTGCAGTCTAATAACTACGAAACTAATTCGTAGTTTCATAACTTACATAAGCTACACGCGTAATTAAGATAGAATAAAATTATCATATATATTCCTGCTCAATTGTATCCTAGAAAAAATACTCCATTTTGCGGTAAAGGCTCTTCGATTGGGCGATCCTCTGACAAAAAGATCATATCGAAAATCTTAACGGCTCATTTTCATTAACAATTCTGAATCTGAAAAGGTAAAAAAGTCTAATGCGCAGAATGAGAAGCAGAAGATGAATAATTAACAAATACGGACAGAATAAACCTTAAAATTAATTCTTGCTACAACCGACATGGAAATTTAGTCAACATTTAACTTTGTCATTAGGCCTAAAACCAAACTACAATTAGTTGTTATGCATTTACATTGATTGGTTTGTAACGACTGTCATATACCGTAATTACTCTTCCAAGTCACTGAAACTGTATACTGACACTACAGTAAATGTATAATATTGCAAGATATTTAGCAAAAATAAAAATACCTTCCGACATTTGTTTCTTGAAGGCATTATTTAAACTGTAACACGCTGTTCGGAGAGAAAAAACGAGGCAAATACGTTAAACATATTTACCTATATTATATTCATTGACCGTGTCTAGAAAGAAAAATTCTCCTCATGAAATTTTCATTAATGTTGGTCTTTAAGCAACTGTCAAAAACATAAAAATTAGAATATACAAAACTATGATTTTACCTGTGGTTCTGTATGAGTGTGAAACCTGGTCTCTGACATTATGGGAGGGATATAGACTGAGGGTCTTTGAGAACAGGGTGTTGAGAAGAATATTTGGACCGAAGAGGGATGAAGTGATAGGAGGGTGGAGAAAATTGCATAATGAGGAGCTTCATAACTTGTACTTTTCTCCAAGTATAATTACAATGATCAAGTCAAGGAGGATAAGGTGAGCAGGGCATGTAGCACGAACTGGAGATACGAGGAATGCATATAGGGTATTGGTGGGAAAGCCAGAAGGAAAGAGTTAGCTGGGATGACCAAGGCGTAGGTGGGTGAACAATATTAAAACTGGTCTTAGAGAGATAGGATGGGATGGAATGGGTTGGATTGGTCTGGCTCAGGATATGGACCAGTGGAGGGCTCTTGTGAAAACGGTAATGAACCTTCGGGTTCCTTAAAATGCTGGGAAATTCTTAAGTAGCTGCAGAATTTGAGGCTCCTACAGAAGGGCTCAGCTCCATGAGTGAGTAAGTAAGTAAGTAAGTAAATATTTTTTTATTGCTAGTGGGGTGGGACTAAGTCTCTTGTACTGCGGCCACTTCTGGCCTATTGTACCAGCCCCAGATGACAGGTGAGGGTGATTGTGGAGCAATTGGTGGAATGAAGATTGGCAGGGGAAACCGAAGTACTCGGAGAAAACCTGCCCCAGCGCCACTTTGTCCACCACAAATCCCACTTGACCAGACCAGGGATCGAACCCGGGCCACCGCAGTGGGAAGGCAGCGACTAACCGCTTGAGCTATGGCGGTATGTACTTTAAATTAAGGAAAAATAACTTACAAAAAATGAATACGAGACATGTAATGTTTGGTCAATAACAAAAATTTGGTAACCGCAAGTTACATATGTGCGTTGACGTGCAAAGTAGGCTACAGGTCATAAATCCCAGGTGATGTGTGTGTACGTCCGACTACATAACGATGTTACTCGTTTAGTATAGTACCAAGATACGAAGGTCTCCATTCTACAGCCGTTACCGAGCAAGGTGGCCCAAGTGATAATGTTTCATTTGTTAAATTTACGTGCTTAACTCAGAAGCCCAAAGACTAGTTACAGACAATACGTACAAAAACAGGCAAACAAAAGGGCACAACACCACCAAATGACGATGCCGATGACGGTAATAAGAATAAGAACAGCAGCAATAATAATAATAATAATAATAATAATATACACATATTATAAAATAGTGTTAATATAACTGAATGCGATAATGAAATTCTTACTTGACTGGTATCTGCACTGTACCCTGAAGATGGTGCCAGTATGCTAGTATCAACCTACCAGACTACATAATGTCATAAACCAGAAGACCACAATATAAATCTCAGACCAACAAAATCCTAAAATATTGCAGTTATGATTCACAATACGAAATCAGTCCAAAAAAGAAACAAATATACTGGCACTATACATGTCATTATGACCAATAGCAAAAAGGTAAAAAGGTAAAGCTATCCCTGTAACAGGCCGTGAAAACCCATAGGCCTGTCAGGCATCGAGGCTCCTACATTTTGTCTAGATAATCGGCTCATAGACGGCGGTAAGGCCCACGACGGCCATCCTTTAGCCCCCAAGAATATTCCTGGTACTCATTTCCGTTAGAGCCTAAGTCGACCCCAGGCCCATAGTGCGGCTGGAAGGATTAGATAAATTCAAAAAAAAAATCCACCTCATCGGCACTCGAACCCGTGACCTTCTGGTTTGTAGCGTAGTGCCTCAATCAACTATGCCACCACATAACCCGACCATTAAGCAAACATTTGGCCGCGCCATAGCTCAAGCGGTTAGTCGCTGGCTTCCCACCGCGGTGGCCCGGTTTCGATCCCAGGTTTGGTCAAGTGGGATTTGTGGTGGACAAAGTGGCGCTGGGGCAGGTTTTCTCCGAGTACTTCGGTTTCCCTTGCCAATCTTCATTCCACCAATTGCTCCACAATCACCCTCACCTATCATCTGGGGCTGGTACAATAGGCCAGAAGTGGCCGCAGTACAAGGGACTTCGTCCCACCCCATTAGCAATAAAAAAAAACATACATTTAATAAAGATGTGAGGTACAGAAAATAAAACGTTTAAATATTTCATTGCAGTAAGAAGAACTCTGGTGAATGTGTACTTTAGCTGCTGGAGATGTATACTACATATTATAAGTAGTGTGATTAAGATGATATAAATAAAAACTTAATGAATAGTAGGGCACAACGATCAATACAATAAGTGATGCCCATTTATTGATTTTAATAATCTATGTATAATCTCATATAATATTTTGCTGAGAATATATCCCTTTATTCTTTTTACAGATATATTACTTGGATCATGCATTGTGGAAGTACTATTGATGGAATTTCCTTCATCTCTTCACCCGTTTCAAAATAAAAAGTTTCACCATTGTAATAAAAATTCAATTATAACTGAATAAATCGTCATTTGGAACGAACATCCTATTTGGATGCATAATTCCACAATGAAAATGTTCTAACTCAAAAATGTTGAGACAAAAGAGGAATTATGCCATGACCCCAGTTACACATCAATTGAATGTTATTTTGTTAATTAGTTCAAGTATTTGTTAAAAGCACAGAAATATTGTGCAGAATATGAGTATCTGTGGAACAAAATATTTGCTTATAAAGAGAGTAAACAATGGCATAAACAAAGTAATATAATAATTGGGGTTTTCGTGGCAGTATATAATCCTTAGATTGTAGTGCCAAGCAGTACTGGAAAAAGTTCCCAATTTTGAGGTGGGAGGTAGAAGTAGATATGATAGGAAATAACAGGAAATCACAAATTGTGGTTAGGCAGGTTTGTAAAGGAAGGTGGAATGTATGCCACCCTCAATGGAGAATAGGAAAAAGATTCTCTAGTGCAGGAAAGTGGAGAAATATAAGGCACACGGAACTGAAGGAAACTTCTGTTTTCTGTTATGTCAATGCAAGATCAACTGCCTCTTCATAAATATTATATATATATAAAATAATATAGTGGTATACATATTTCATGTACCTATAAATTAACAAAACAGAAACCCTGTCAACATTACAAGGTCAGTCACAGACCTCATACAACTGCTTTCATATTTTGTGAATATTCATAAACAAACAACACAGATGTTCAAAATTACATCAAAATAATACCTTCAAACACTGGATGACAATATCTAAAAGCATCTTTATAATAAACTTTCTAGATTTGGAAACAATAAGAAATAGTGTATCTTGAGCACAAAAATATGTGTCTTGGGTGGTGGCTAGCTTTTCTAGCTAGGCCACAGAAAGTTGCAGTTAACATTGCAAAATCTATTACGTTACTAAGTACCCATGCAAAAAATTAAACTGTATGACTCCACACCACATATTTACATCTCACAAAACTTCCATTACACTAAATTTATGATATTAAGGACTTCCAGCCAGATGACTGTTCAAATTGTTGAATGCTAATAAGTTGAATAATTACATACATACAATATGCAGTTCCCATTACATCTCCTTCATTTTCAAAATACTGTGCCTACAGTCAGATATTTAATTTTCTTGTCGTCTCTTTCAACCAAAATACTGCACATAACAATCAAACTAAGCTTTTCAAACTTGCTATCTTCAAGCATTTGTTTTCAGCATGAAAACACAAAATTGTATTATCCCTTACTCAGATCTTGCTAAAATTACATTTGCAAGTTCTTTTAATGAACTCAGTCTACAACTGTCACGTGGTTTTTTTTTTTCTGAAATAACAAAATGGCATTACTAGGATGCCCTGGTAATAACAGGTATTCTTATTTACTGCATGTGTTCAGACGTGAAAATTATGCACAGTAGTTGGTAGCTGTAAACTTGACTTGTGTTCAACTATAAACTGGAGGATTCATGCATTTATTCTGCAGGTAGTGGGATATAGCGAAGATGAACTGCAGAATTTGATGGGTATAAACACTGAGAGATTGATATATTCAGCTTCACTACTCAGGAGCAACATGGTACAAGCCCTTGGCACCATTCTAGAGCACCCAGAAACAGAAGAGCAGCTCACATGGGAGCAACAAGCTGTAATCCAACGGTTGCATGACAGTTTAACTTCAAAGGAAACAAATATCGTGCAACAGCTCCCAGAAGTGCAAATAGTTTCCCAGTCTCGAGCAGCAATAACAGCTGAACAAGAGGCACCAATACTTTTCACTCTTCTTTCACAGAGTTCATCAATCACATTTCAATGGAAGAAAATCATGAGTATACTTAAGTCTTACACCATTGGATCCATGTTGAAGGGCTTGCCTGGAGGTCTTAAACAAAATGAGAATTCAGAATTAGCACATATTATCAATCTAAAAAAGAAAACCTTCTTTGAAAGCATACTAAAGAATATTCAACACCATTACATCACTTTGACATCATCACTTCTGGTAGGTCTTTTAAATAATATTCCTTTACATTGCTTATGTCCAGAAACTCACGAAGTGCTTCACAATGTTCCAGAAGAGCTGCTCCATAAACAAAACAAATTAAATAGCTTTCTTCCAAGAATTACAATAAAATTGCAACAATATATCAGTGACTTCTTGTTGAAAGTCTTAAACCTCGTACAGTCTGAACAGTCTCCACTGAACCTTTCAGTTAAACACCATATCAGGAAAATCTTTCCTTTCATAAAACCAGGAGTTTGTAAGAATGTAAAACCTCAACTACTTACAGTTAGTCATAAGTATAATGAATTGTTTCTTCCAATTAGAAATGATAAATTTGCATGTGATATCATTGATGCTATGGATATTCTTATGTTTGCTATTAAAAGTGGTAAATTAGATCTAACAAAACACTCTGGTGGCTTTGTACCAGCATTTTATGGCAATGTTCGCCTATCTGCTCTTTTTGCTTTTCTTTCAAGATTACGTTTCTCATTGCTAAATGCACATCCAGCATCAGCTTATGCACATACACTTTTTAGTTATGTCAAAATGAGATATATCTCAAATGCTGGTAGTTTCATACATACAGTGCCACTAGATATTGCAGTGCTTCTTAACTCCTTCAACACCGTGGGTGCAGATTTCTCAGAAGTAAATACTGAGATATACCATGCCTTTCAGGAAGAAATAAAATGGAAGAAAATCCTTGAAGATTTTCCATTCTCTCGATATATTCAGCCTCGCCTTCTATTCATGAAACTAAAGTTGTCTCACCAAATAATTTTAAAATACTTCCTAGAAAAGGTACAACATACTCTACACCAATGTCAACATTTGCAAATTTCAGAGACAGAAATGAAATTTAATCCATTTATAAATCCAACAACACAACTCAAACAGCTCAAAGCACCTATTTTATTGCAACCTGTGAATGTTATCAATGAAACACTGGCTACAGTTGAGGCAAAGCTCTCGAGAGAACCACAAATTATAACTGTAATAAAATCACCTGCTCAACAGTGTGAAAACTCACATAGCATTCAGTCTTGTGCAAACTCCACAGACTCAGTAATTCAACTATTCAACATTCTTTCCCAGAAGAATAAAACCAAATTTAGTGTAACATGCACAGAGCAACAAGAAAAGGTTTATCTACCCAATATACAGTCCTCTCTTGAAGCAGTTGATGAGAATATGCTACATCAGTCCATTACACTCATATCTAACTATTTTGAAACTACAGATACTGGCAAGATAATGCAGGGATTTCACATGGAAAATTATAAAACACAAGGTGAGCTATTAACACAAATACTCAGATTTATGAAAACCAACTTGGTACACATTCCAACAAGAGTTCTTCATGCAATTGATGAAATATTACTTCATATAAAATTAGATGGGTTGAGTGCCCTAAAACCTGAAATGATGGAAATGTGTCTAGATGTTAGCACTGCAAAAACAAGGATGTCAGCAATAAATTCGTCAATAATATACAGAACTGAAAAATCATCACAAACTACACATCTCATAAATAGTTCAGGAAAAGTGCCAATGGAATCAACAACATTAGAGTATGAAGATACAGCATCAACCACAGTAGAAACTATAACATCTATTAATTTACAATCCAACATAATAACAGTTTCCCCACCAAACCATGTAACATTTCCAGAGAGAGAAACACCATACACAAATGAAATCACTATTCCACAAATAAAAAAATCACGATGTTCATCATTAGGGTATGACACAAAAACAACCACCACAGAACCTACAACATCTACTAATTTAAAACCCACCACAATTAAATTGTTGCCAACCCATTTAACATTTCCAGAAACAGAATCATTATCTGCAGATAAAGTCACCACATCAAAACCAAAAACAACAAAAAACACATCAGAGTATGATGACAGAGAATCAATTATAGCAGAAACTACAGCATCTATTAATATTCAACCTATCACTAGCACAGTATACCCACCAACCCATGTAACATTTCTACAAACAGAAACATCATCCACAGACAAAGCCACCACTCCACAACTGGAAACAACAAAATACACAACAGGGTACAATGATACAGAATCAACAATAGTAGAAACTACAACTACTAAGTTACAACCTATCACAATCACAGCATCCCCATCAATCCATGTAACATTTTCAGAAACAGAAACACCATTAACAGACAAAGAAACCAATGCACAAACAGAAATAACGGAGACCACCACAGTCAATGTCACATCTGAAGATACTAACACTGCTACACCTTCACTCCCTATATTAGACACAGAATATACAAAATTGGAAACACCAACAACAGAACAAAAAATTACCTCTACGCTATTACACACATCCAGTGACTTACACACTACCACATCAAAAACAAGTTATACAGAATCAATGCCTACAACAATAACTGGAGAATTAGAAACAACAAAAAAGATCACAAAAACAAAACAAACAAGACACAGACTCCCATTATAATGTCAACATACATACATGACACCAACATTACAGGAGTCAGGACTGAACAGAATACCACACCTCTCAACACAGATACAACAGAGACAGTTACTTTGCCACAATTACCCTCAAATTTCACTCATAATAAAGAAAGAGAAATATATACATTAAATTGCAGTCATCAACAAACTATTGCCAAAATTCCAAACATAAAATCACTCCTATCTGCAGTTCTCAACAATGTGTCAGTTCACAACATTCAGTTTGCTACCAATTTTTTTCAGAAACAAAAATTTTTGCATGTGCTTAAAATTTTTGACACAAAAAAAATATGTAAACAAAGGCAGATATGCTCAGTAATGTGATAACATTTCTAAATCTGACATACACAGATTTCAATTATGTTGTACATGATATATTTAAAAACATTCTGTCACATGTCATTTTTGATGGAAAATTAATAACAGAACATGACTATGCAGACTTATGCCTTGACAGACCATTACTGACAATGAACTTACCAGCACAAGGACACGCTTCTACCAATGAAACACAAACTGCACATTCAGCTACCACAGTAACACCAGCTACCGTTCACATTACCACAAAACCTATTACAACATATCCATCAGAAACTTCTCCATCACCATCAACAATGCAATCTGTAAAATAACCTCGCTATTACTCAATACATCCAGTTTAGAGTTATCAATTCCAATCTCCTGTATAGAGCCAAATGGAGGAAACCAAATTATCCCTTATAATATAACATTATTTGATTCCCTGGACTATAGTACACCGAACAGAGAAAAGGCTATCATTATGAGTTACCTCACACAATCTAGCACATACAACATACTGGCAGGACTGACTGACTTCTATCAAAACAGACAGAACATGCAGGACACCGCATATAATGCTCCCACCTTCACGACAAATGGCTCACTTCTGAAGCGAGTACTCTTAGTCTTGAGAAACAGGACAGATATCCAGCATCATATTCTCACTGCTATTGATATTGTCCTACCTCACATACAGTCAGGTGGACCAAGCACAATTCATTTTGAGCCAACAATTATTTGTGATTCTTCAGATTTGAATGCTGGTGCTGAATCAGCACCAGACTTGAGAAGATTAAGAAGCGCTAACAAAACACTAACAACTTCATCTCCTAACATCTATATGTCAGCAGACACAAAACTGGCTCCCACACCATTCTCAACAGTTGAAAAAACGTTAGACATTTCTTCACCAAATATTTCAAACAGTAATATAGAAACGTTATATGACGTATACAATGTTAGTATTTATGAAGAGCCCAACCATACGGTTATCAAGACAACCAAAGAATGTCTAGAAAATGGTAAAATTCGCATGTTTACTATTGAAGTGCCATCTCTCTTTCAAGCCGTAAAACCTGGAATTTCTCAACTCCTGCTGAAGAATGTTATGGATATTCTGAATGTTCCTGCATTGCAAATGAAGCTGAAAGTACTTAACTGGGATCAATATAACACTAAAGCATGGCTTCTCAAAGACATTCTTACATATGTAGTAACAAATACCACTCAAAACAAAGAAATAATTGATTCCATTAATCATATTATTTCACAGATAGATGTGAATGGATCTGGAGCTCACCATCCAACTTTTAAATTTATATGTGCTCCTAATGACACTGCTCTTGAGCCTGGTGAATCAGACCAATCCATTCTGAAACCTATGGTAGGAAGCTGTAAGTCAATGCTAGCTGTGAAAATTGCCTTACTCCTGAAAGCTGTTAAAACAAATACTCCTCATGTCCCAAAAGCACTTGTAACAGCATTGTTACATAATCCACATTTCTACCAGTCTATTGCTGACTTCAAGTTGGATGATTTCAAAACACGTGGACAGCAACTTCAAGGACTGCTTACACATCTTATTACTGAAGGGAAATTGGAACCTATTGTTTATGATGCACTTAAAACACTGCTTAATTATGTACAACTAGATGGGCCTGGTGCCTTGCCAGCTGACACTAAAATTATATGCAGGTCCCCCTTAAGTGTTCCAACAGCTATGCCATCAGGCACAACACTTCATGATGATTACATAAATGACAGAATGATCATCATACCCTCCAAATGTTTAGACAAACAATCGCTGAGTGGAATGCTTACAGTCGATCTGCCATCCCTCTTCACAGCCATTGATCAAAATGCTCCAACAGACCTGGTATCACTAATTATGAATGCTCTCAGCTCTCCTGGCATTCATCAAGCATTGTTAGACTACAACTGGAATGATTATGAAACCAGATCTCAACTTCTTAAGGATCTCCTTTCATTCGTTGCTGCGATGACATCAGAAGAGAACGAAGTTCACAAGGCGGCCCAGAAATTAATACCTTATGTAAAGACATTTGGTGTTGGAATATATGCACCAGTTATGGTATTTGAATGTGATGAGGAGAATGCCACAGTAATTACTGTTTCAAAAGAAACTCCGGTCTCTAACTACTGTGATGAAGGAGTCATTTCTAGAGAGATTATACCTCTGAAGACATTGAAAATTTCATCACTTTTCAAAGCTCTAAAACCTACTACACCCCAAGAACCTAAAAGAGTTGTTAGTTCATATCTGAGCAGAATGGACTTCTATAAAAACACTCGAGGATTCAGCTTTGAAGAACATAAGACAAGAGGTGAACTACTTCAAGAACTGCTGGCTTACTTAATGGAGGACGTTTCAATGGACCATAAAACCATGGAAGCAATTTCAACGCTTATACAATATGTTCAGTTAGATGGACCTGGTGCAGAAATTCTGGAATTCAACATAACATGCAATGTAACTGCACCAAGCAGACTATCCCAAGATCTTTATGGACTTTATAATGACTCTGAAGAACCTGAAAATGAGAATATAAGAATCAACAATAAATGTTTTGATAATGGAACAACACAGATTCTTGCTGCTGATGTGTCCCCACTAGTACACATCATTGACAGACCCCTCATGACACTTTTTCAAATTAAAGACATTCTTAGAGCACCTGGCACACAAAAGAAATTGAAAGAATTTAATTGGGATGTTTACCATGAAAAAAGAGGAGAACTGCTTAAAAATATAATAGACTTCTTAATAAACACAGTATCTCCAAAGGAACAGCAGTACATGTTTCTTAATTCAGTTATTCCTTTTATTCAGATGGATCATCAAGGTGCAATACCTCCATCTTTCATATTTTCATGCATCACAGAAGAACTGGCACAAAATGACATGATTAAAAACAGAATAAAATTAGAAGATATTACAGGAGGACCTGCCATACTTAAACCTTCTCATGGACAGTGCAACAATGAGGCAACACCTATACTTGTAGTAAATATTCATCCTCTGTTTAATGCCTTAAAACAAACCACACCCCCCTTCTCTAAAGCAGTGGTTACTGCATATGTTACTAAACCTCACTTTTACAAAAAAACTCTCAAATTTCAGTCTAGCCAACTTCAAAACACGTGGAGAGCAGCTTCGAGAGCTGTTGATCTATCTGACTGAAGTTTTTGTTGACACTACACTCATGAAGGCTACTAAGAAACTTCTAGAAAATGTACAACTGGATGGGCCTGGGAAACTTCCATCCTCTGTAAAAGTTGTCTGCAATACCACACTCAATAAGCTGACAGGAATTCCATTACAAAAAGTAGAAGATATCCTTGTAACTGTAACTGTAACACCAATCATTAAGCAAACACAACCCACATCAGTTCTAGCACCATGTATACAATCTTCATCAGGAACAACTTACCAGATTGACTTCCCAAACATATTTTATGCCCTAAAACCAAACACACCACGAACTTCTCTGGCTAAGATTGTTTCACTCCTTACAAAACCAGACTTTTATACAGTGCTAAAGAATTTTAACATAGAGGTTCACAAGACACAAGGAGATTTACTGGCCTCTTTGCTCCTATTTCTCATGAAGAAATTTAATCATCAATAACATATAACACAGGCAATTCAAGAAATACTGCCATTCATTCATTATGATGGTCTTGGCAGTAAGCCTCAAAATGTAATTCCCTCCTGTGCATTGCCTGATTCAAAAGAGGTTATATTAGATGAACCATATACAATTGCAGAACCAAGTCCTACATCACAAGGCCCAAAACTGATTGATTTGGATGGAAATGAATGCATGTCCTTTACACCTGGCTCTTCTCATGTTCAAGGGACAACAGCTTTCAAAGTCGATGTAAAGTCACTAACCAAACTTCTGAACAATACAGCACTTGAACAAGAACCTACAGCAACAATGTTTGCTTCTGAATATTTGCAGAATTCTCTTCATGTTTTAAACTTGAAGAACTATTCCTCACGAGCAGAACTACTGAAAGGAATTATATCTCTATTAGAAAATTACCCACACTTGACCAATAATAATTTTCTGCTTTTTAAGATGATTACATCACATATTCAATATGAAGGTGAAGGAGCACTTTCTCCACTTATTTCAGCATTATGCACTGAAGGTTTGGTAAAACCCACTCCACAATACATTACGTATGCAACAAATGAGACATGTTTCATGCCAAGTGAATATTCCACAACAGGTATGCCATATAAATTAGAGACTGAAACACTGCTACAGACAATTAAACCAGAAACACCAAAAAATATAGCAAACAGTGTCATTTCATTCTTCAAACATGATAATGTTCAATTATACTTTCTGGGCTTCAATATATTTGAGTACAGAACACAAGGCGAGATAATGAGGAACCTCCTCCTGTTCCTGGCCATAAAGCCAGAAATTAAGCTAGAATATAAAAAAGCCATGGTCACTATAGTGCCATATATACTCATGGATGGTCCTGGAGCTCTCTCTCCTGTGATAATCACAACATGTCCTGAATCTCAAGACAATCGGGAAGTCACCAATCAAACATCAGAAACTGATACAGAAGCATAGACACAAAATTCCCATACCAGATATAGCCATGCAGTTCCAGTCCTCAAGCCATTATTACACCTCAGTTCCATTCTTCTCTCTTTGAA